CTCAGCCGTCTGAGGAAGTAGAGTCTCTGATGAGCTTTCTTGATCAGGCTGGTGGTGTTGTTGCTCCAGCTGAGGTTGTCATTCATGTGTACACCCAAGTACTTGTAGCTGGAGACCACTTCCACCGCAGATCCTCTTATGTTCAGGTGGGTGTAGGTGTTTTTGTTCCTTCTGAAGTCCACAATCATCTCCTTTGTCTTCTTCACATTGATGTGAAGGTTATTCTCTCTGCACCAGCTCTCCAGGTGTTCCACCTCCTGCCTGTAGCTGGACTCATCATTGTTTGTGATGCATCCCACCACCGCTGTATCATCTGCAAACTTTACAATGTGACAGCCTGGATGGGTAGCTGCACAATCATATGTGAGCAGAGTAAACAGGAGGGGGCTCAACACACATCCCTGAGGAGAGCCAGTGCTGAGGGTTATGGTGGAGGAGGAGAGGTTGTGGATCCTCACTAACTGTGGTCTGTTTGTTAAAAAGTCTAGTACCCAGTTGCAGATGGAGGGGCTTAGTCCTAGTGTGGATAGTTTGTCCATCAGGGTTTGGGGGATCATGGTGTTGAAGGCGGATGTGAAGTCCACAAAGAGCATACGGACGTAAGAGTTTTTCTGCTCCAGGTGGTTGAGTGCAGTGTGGACCACAGAGGAGATTGCATCCTCTGTTGATCGGTTCTCACGGTATGCGTACTGATGAGGGTCCTCGTTGATGTTGATGGTTGTTTTGATGTGAGTCATGACCAGTTTTTCGAAGCATTTAGCGACTATCGGGGTGAGGGCCACTGGCCGATAGTCATTCAGACCAGTCACTGTAGAGCTTTTTGGGACTGGGATGATGGTGGCAGTCTTCAGGCAGGTGGGAACTGTCTCCAGGGTAAGTGAGGTGTTAAAGATGTCTGCCAGCACCTCACAGAGCTGATCAGCACATTCCTTCAACACTTTTCCGGGGATGTTGTCTGGGCCAGTTGCTTTGTGCGGATTAATCCTCCTGAAGGTACTCCTTACTTCTGCTGAGGTCATGTAGGAGGAGATGTATGAAGGCAGCAGACCAAGAAGTTATTTAAAGATGAAAATGTACCAGTGAAAGAAACTACTTGAAGTTATTGATGACCAGTTAACCAGTGAATACAGGGTGCAATAGTGGGTACGGTAGTTACAGCCAGTTATGAATCTTAACGCACCATGACAGACAGCATTCAACATCTGCAGGGTGCATGTAAGGGCGTTCATGTAAATAATGTCACTGTAATCAATGGAGGGACAGAAAGTCGCATTTACAAGATGTTTCCTAGCATTCAGAGTTAGATTTATTTCTGAAAAACAAACCCAGTTTAACTTTCAGATTCTTTACCAAGTTTTCCACGTGGAGCTTAAAGGAGAGATGTGAATTGACCAATATACCCTAATATTTATAGGAATCGACAAACTCAATAGAAGCACCATTTGAAGATAAAATCGAAGTAAGACCTGCTGGGACCGACTTCCTGTTTGAAAACAACATCCCTTTGGTTTTATCAGCATTTAGCACAAGTTTGAGATGGAACAAATCTGACTGGACAATGTCAAAAGCTGATTGTAAAAGCTGGAAAACCTTAGCAACTGCTTGACAATAAACCACTGTGTCATCAGCATAGAAATGTAAGGATGCATCAGGGATGGTCTGACCCACATTACCTATGTAGATTGTAAAGAGGGTGGGTCCTAAGACTGAGCCTTGTGGTACACCATTGTTGACCATTAAATAACTGGAAGAAGTACCATTATGCTGAACACATTGTCTCCGATCTGAGAGATAGTTAGAGAACCAACCAATGGTGTGATCTGAAAAACCAATCTCTGAGAACTTATGACACAAGATGTCATGGGCAACAGTGTGAAAAGCTTTAGACAGGTCTAAGAAAAGTACAGTACAATAATCCTTAGTGTCCAATGCTTCAACAACATCATTAATGTCATTGATCAGGCGTAATGATCAGGTGGTTTGAATTATTATTCCTCAAAAAGAAAATTTTTACTTTTGAAGCCAGATTACGATCAGTTTTTACATCTCTGTTGAACTGCTTTTCACTCACAGGTAGTTGAGAAGTGTCTGAGTCTAGGAGCCCAAAAGGCTCTGTATATAGCAGCAGACATGGCGAATGAGTCCGACCCCGACAAAGTGGTGGATTTTGCTCTGGAGAAACTGGGAGGTTTGGATTACCTGGTTCTCAACCATATTGGCTCGACCCCTTTTAGCATGTGGGACGGAGATGTGGAACACACCAGGTGGCTAATGAAGGTAATGAAGCATTTTGATGATCTATCAGCACACAAAATCAAGAGAATAGCCTGACCTGTGTGTGTGTTTTGAAGGTCAATTTCTTCAGCTACATACAGATGGCCTGGAAAGCTTTGCCCTCCCTTGAGCAAAGTAAAGGATCTCTGGTAGTGGTTTCATCAGTTGCAGGTAAATATGCATCAGTAAGTTAAGCTACATGAATTTTACATGTATATACACACACACACACATATATATATATATATATATATATATATAAATACATACATACAGTACATATATATATTTTTTGTGAAGTAATGAACAACTTTTTATCAAAAAAGCCTCTGTTTTGCCATTACAACATGCTTTTTATTGCCAATTGTTTTTATTGCCTTAAGGATTTGTTAGTTTAATATGTTGTAATATTTCGGGCTTTTCCTTCTTCAGGAGTCTCTACAGCGAGTCATCCTCCTCCATCTCACTCTGTCCTTTACATCCTCTGTCCTCACTCCCATCTACCTCCATGTCCTCTCTAACTGCATCCATATGCAGTATCTTCTCTTTGGTCTTCCTCTTTGTCTTTTTCCTGGCAGCTGCATTTCTAACATCCTTCTACCAGTATACCCACTGTCCCTTCTCTGGACATGTCCAAACCATCTCAGTCTGGTCTCTCTAACTTTATTTCCCAGTTGTTCAACCTGTGCTGTACCTCTGATGATCTCATTCCTAATCTTATCCATCCTTGTCACTCCTAAGGAGAACCTCAACATCGTCATTTCTGTCACTTCCAGTTCTTTCTCCTGTCTTTTTGTCAATACCACTGTCTCCAGACCATACAACATAGCTGGTCTCACAACTGTCTTGTAAACTTTTCCTTTGACTTTTGCTGCCACCGTTTTGTCGCAAAGAACTCCTGAAACTTTTCTAAATCCACTCCATCCTGCCTGGACTCTCTTTTTCACTTCTTTACCACATTCCCCATTTTCCTGGACAGTGGACCCCAAGTACTTGAAGTCCTGCACCTTTGTGACCTCTGCTCCTGTGGCCTCACTGCTCCATCTGTCTCCACCCTTTGTACTGTAAATGTACACAGTATATTCTATACACGAGCTAAGTAAAAATGCACAGTATTCTGTGTGCATGACCTTAGTAAATGTAGATGGAATACTGGGTGCATTATATTATTAAAACGTACACAGTATACTGTGTACATGACCTTAGTAAAAGTACACAGTAAAGTGTGAACTTGACCTTAGAAAAAGTACAAAATATACACAGTATACTGTATACATGACTTTAGTAAAAGTACAGAGTATACTTTGTTGTAATATTTAAACATATTTAAACTAAACCCTGTCATAAGCTTCATTAGAAGAAGCAGGATCCTGTATAAAATGTAAATGCAGAATTCAATAATATGAAAATTTCATAAGCCCACATTATAGTCACAAGGTAACAAAATAAACATACACATACCTAATGTCTAAATTAAGAAATCAACAACCCATTTTTTTTGGGGGGGGGGGGGGGTAATGGGGAGGGGGGCGTAATTTAGAATCTAATGGGTTCTGGGTTCTACAGAAATCCATGAAGTCAGTACATTGTCTTAACAAGGATAGAAATGCATAGATATACTTTAGCGTGTGTATGTGAATGTAGATTTTAAGCTTTTGAAAATGTTTTTTAATGCAAAGAAAATTGTTTTTATTATTATTACATAAAAAGGTCACAATAATAAAAATTAAAAAAACTACTTTTTCTCAAATAATTTTAGACATTCTTTAGGCCCAGTCTTTTTTCAGACATTTTGGCTCCACATAGACAATTGTTTATGATCTGCAGGTAAAATGCCCACTCCGTTTGTAGCGCCATACACTTCAACAAAATCAGCTCTAAATGGGTTCTTTGGATCCTTGTACCATGAACTGGCTTTGAAGAAGAGCAACGTGTCCATCTCTATTTGCACACTCGGCCTTATTGATACTGAAACGGCTATGAAGAAAGTCAGGTATGTCAAAAGTGTAAATACAAACGTGTGTGTGCATGCATGTGTGTGAAAAGAAAATGCAAAAAAAAAAAAAAAGCCTCATTAACTGCACTTGAGCTCTTTGCTTTAGCTTAATGCAGGATGTTTTTTGTATCTCAGGGGACTTGTTAAGATGCCGGCCTATCCTGCCACAGAAGCAGCGTTGAACATCATCAGAACTGGAGCAACAAGGCAGCAGGAGCTTTACTACCCCTGGTTCACATACATTCCATGTCTCATCAGAGACTGGTTTCCTCCTCTGATGAATTATCTTGCCCAGAACTCCATAAAGTACAATCCATAAAAATCAAATATCTACAGCACTGACACAATAAATGGATTAAAATTTCGATGGAATTTAAAATGTAGTCATTTTCTTTTATGAAGGTCACTTCTAGACTGACCTTTGATGACAGAAGATGGGTGCACCTTAGTCCTACAAGTTTCTGCCAGGCTTTAGCTGGTGACCTTTAGGAGTACCTATTGTGTATTATCTACCACACTAAATTTCCCTGGCTGACTATTATATGTAAGATTTTATTTTGTCTTTAGTAACAAGCCTGAACAGTACAACTTGAAACGTGAGTCTGCTTTGAAATCTTTGTGCTTTGCTGCTTTTCTCAGTTTGGCTGTTCCACACCCAGTTTTAAACGTCCTCTGCAGCTGTTTTATGTTTCATATATTTACTGTGTCTTTACCTTTATATAAAAATCCTTATTTTAGCTCCTCTGTTAAATCATACAAATAAATTGATTCTTTTCAAGACAAAAGATAAACACACAAATTTCATTTTATTTATTTTTTTTAGCTCATTTGGAATATTGTAAATTGATTTTAACATACTATAAAAACTTATATGTTTGAAGGCACACTTACTGTAAAATTTACTTAAGTATTATTATTTTTAGTGTTTGCTAAGGTCAATTAGCCGAGGAGTTTGCCGTGAACTGAGTGACCCCAAACTTTAACCAGTATGTACAAGTACTCAATAATTATTTTCCACAAATTTCAATCAAACATCCAGAGATGTACAAGATATTTATTGATATATTACAAGATATTTTGCTAATAGATAAACGATGTTGACTCAAACCGTTATTGTCATGGTTTTAGGCTAGCATATCAGACACTTCATTTTGCTCAGTCAATACATAACAAATTATAGATTAAAATCTCTACATTTGAGTTATAGTCATGTTTATGGTTTCTAAGTTTAGTTGGCTGTAGTAGTTGTCTTGAAATGAATTACTGGACATGGGCTCACTGCTCCCTGTGACCCAGAAAGGAGAAACGGGTAAAGAAGTGAAATGGTTAATGAGATTTTTTTCTAACAGGCAGACATAGTTGATTCCTGTAGTTAGTGGCAAAATTTTAAACCCGTATTAAGGGCAAAAACAGTATATTTTTCTTCTTCTTTGGCTTCAGGCGGTGAGACTTTTTGTCTCGTTTTGTTTTCTTTTGTATGTATTTGTACTTTAAATAAGCACCTGGGGGCAGTAGTGTTCAAACTGTGAAGGAGCTTCACTTCAGCTGCCATTCTTCACCAACACAGTTTCTTTTAGAGAAAGCACTAGTCACAAAAGCTTCATTTAATTTATAGAGATAAAAATACAAGTCTGACATTATTTCTAGATTATTACCTTATAACCTTCATGATTCTGTTCCCTGTTCTTTGCATCCTTTATTTTTGGTCCGTTTCCATTCTTCCTACATGCACATGTTTTGTCTCCCCCAAAGATGAACACACTGAGTTTCAGACATCTCGTAAGGTTTTCTTTTTCTGCTTTTGTTCACCAACTCCAAAGGCACCACAGACTTTCTGTGAAGCTCCATCCGTCTCGGTGGTCTACCTCTTTTGTAGTGCATGCTAGAAGCTGCACCCTGCTGTTACAGCAGTTTTCTACTGTATATGAGGAGTGAGCTGTCTTTGTCAAAAGAAAAAAGTAAAAAAAATAAAGATTCATCACACTTGTGCCATTTGAAAAGCTGAGAAGAAAGTTGTTTGTTTTTGATTCATATGCTTTTACACGTGCATCCCCACAAGTTAGTAGTCTATTGTGAAAAAGTTACAATTTTCTTGTCACTTAGCTATTTCAGAAAATGAAACTCATATATTACATAGATTCATTATTAACAGAGTGAAACATTGCAAGCCTATATTTCATTTCATTTATTTTGTAATTTTGATGAATGTGGCTTACAAATAATGAAAAAAGAAAAAAAAAACACTCAGTGAGTCTCAGAAAATTTGAATATTCCATAGCCTGCTTTTGGTATTTGGCAGTGTGGGCAGGAGCCGAGTCCTGCTGGAAAATGAAATCAGCATCTCCATAAAGCTCGTCAGCAGAAGGAAGCACAAAGTGCTCTAAAATATCCTGCTAGATGTTGTGTTGACTGGACTTCAGAAAACACAACGGACCAACACCAGCAGAGGACATGGCCCCAAATCACTGACTGGAAACTTCACTCTGGACTTCAAGCAATGTGAATTCTGGACCTCGTCACTCTTCCTCCAGACTCTGACACCTTGATTTCCAAATGACACAAACTTTACTTTCATCTGAAAGGAGGACATTGGACCACTGAGCAACAGCCCAGTTCTTGTCAGCAGGTAAGACACTTCTGATGTTGTCTCTGGTTCAGGAGTGTCTGGACTTGAGGAATTAAACATTTGTAGCTCACGTCTAGGGGTTACTCAGCTGATCAGGGTGTGACACCAGCAATTTACAATATTGAACCTTTTCACAACATTCTAATTTTCTGAGACACACTTTGGTTTTTCGATATTTGTAAGTAATAATCATCAGAATCAGAATTACAAGAAATAAAGCCTTGAAATATTTCACCATGTGTGTAACAAATTTATTTAATATGAGTTTAACTTTCTGAAAGGATTAACAAAAAGATTGAACTTTTTCACAATCAAACTATTTTAGATTGGGGAGTGGTGGTGCCAAGGTTAGAGGAGATGGGCCTGTGATTGGAAAGTCGCAGGTTCAACTCCTGGTACCGTCAACATCAAAATCTGGGTGGAAAAGGTGAAACACCCACACTTGCCTTCACCCTCATTTGCCCCACTCTGGGCCCCTGAGCAAAGACCTTAACCCCCACCATTTGCTCCCAAAAAACATCTCTCTCTTGCAAATGAGTTCTTGTGACTCAAGGACTACCAGTATAAATAAAAGTTAAATGAAAATAGATGCACTTGTTTTTTCAGGGCAAAATGAGAGCCAATGAATGGGATTGGATACTCAGCTGTTGTCTATCAACTGATATGACTTACGGTAATTTTACGTTTCATGAACTCAGCGTTCACACTACTGCTTACAGTTTTTTTGTATTTTTGTTCATTTTTTACAATATAAATACTTTGTATTTACATTGTTCTGCAATTGCATGTTGTACAATTTTAAATAACATATCAAAAACTTCACCTGATTTAGAAGTTGTTTTGTTTTAGTAACTGCTGTACATCTTTAATTGCCACCTTATCGTGCTGGAGGAGTTTGTACGCCTGAATGGTCCGAGGAGCTATGTTATCAGGGGGAATCGTAATTGCTCCTGATAGGGTCTCACAAGGCAGACTGGTCCTACAAGTTATAGGCTAGACAAAGAGTGATTCCAAAAACTCATATGGAGAAGAAAAAGCAAGGAGCTCAATGTCCCTTGTCCGAACGTGGGTTACCGGGGCTCCACCCTGGAGTCAGGCCTGCAGGAGGGGTTCATTGACAAGCACCTGGTCTCTATCCGTGGGGCCCGTCAGGCTCAGCTCTATCGAGCAACATGGGTTTGCTTTCCTGTGGGCCCACCACCTGCAGGAGGGGCCATATGAGTCGGGTGCATGATGCCATGAGCAGTGACCTAAGGCCGGAGCATTAGTGCTATGACCCTGGCTTAACAAAACTGGCTCTTGGGACATGGATAGTAACTTCTCTGGCAGGGAAGGAACCTGAGCTTGTGCATGAGGTTGAAACTGACTAGATATAGTTGGGCTGGCATTGACGCATGGCATGGGCTCCAGAAATCAATCAACCTTTATTTATACAGGTAAATCCCATTGAGCCTCGAGGACTCATTTACAAGAGAGACCTGATAAGAAAAATTTCCTTGAGAGGGGCTGGAACTTATTCCTCTCTGGAGTTACCCATGATGACAGACGCCAAGTTGGTTTGGGTCTACTCTTAGCTCACAGACTTGGTGTCTGTGTGTTGGAGTTTTCCTCAGTAGATGAGAGGGCAGCTTCCCTGTGCCTTCATGTGGGGGACAGGCTCTGACAGTTGTTTGTACCTAAGCACCAAATGTCAGTTCAAAGTATCAGGCATTCTTGGAGTTCTTAGCAGGGGTACTGGAAGGTGCACCAGCTGGGAACTCCTTTATTCTGCTGGGTGACTTAAATGCCTACTTGGGTAATGAAAGTGTGACCTAAGGGGCATGATTGGAAGTGACGGCTTCTCTGATCAGAATGCAAATGTTGTTCTGTTGTTGGTCTTCTGTGCTAGTCATGATTTGTTGATCACAAACACCATAGTCGAACCCCAGTATACTCCCGCGTACGTCCATACGCAGAGGTACGCACGTACGTACGCGGAGGTACAAGCGTACCCCCCAGGGCATGTTCGTGCAAAGCTCAATTTTTACGACTGCATACGCGTACACGGTGTCGCACAATAAACTGCCCAGCAACTGACTGTTTTGTATGCGACGCCAATGTATTAAATTTCCCTTCTTCATCCCTGATCTGGCCTTTTCTTTTGTTTTTTTGCCAAGAGGCAAGTGATCTCTTCCTCCTCCGTTAATGCCATGACTGAAATGGTGACAAATTAAGGAATTTGTCACGAGCAAATTAAACTCAGGTCTAGCATGGCTGCGGGAGGGTCTGGAGATTTCCTGGTGGGCTGGTCTGATGTGTGGGCTGTAGAGCCAGCGCTCCCTGTTTTTTAAAATTTTTTTAGATCTTTTTATTAACAACATATAAACACAGAACACCACTGTGGCTGAGGCTGAGGCTGCCAGCGCTCGCTTTTTTTTCTTTTTTTCGACCTGTCAATCAATCCAGTAGGCATGTCAGCAAATGACCAATCGGCGACCTCAATTTGTCCCGAAGGTAAACGCCCCTTGTCTGTGAAGCTGCTCTGCAGCTGCTCGGGGTGTACGCTGGAGTATCATGTCTGAACCCTCTGCGTACAGTACACGCGTACGTATGCATGAACTGACATACGCGGCAGTATACTGAGGGCTTTAGATGCACTTGGCACCAGGACACCCTAGGTCATAGACCAATGATTAACTATAGTTGTGTCATCTTATTTGT